GGTACAGTAGCAGTTCCACAAGTTGTAGTCGTCGCACATTGTTGGACACAAGGTCTAACATCACCAGATGTTATATAGAATCCACCATTAGCACAATCCCTATGGAAAAAATGGGAATGAGACACTTGTTACTAGCTACCGGTATACCTACCTGTCTAGTAGAATGGGGGATGGAGTTTGCCTGACAGATAATGTTTCCTGTAAGAAGTCAGTCACATTCTTCACGATGTCCTTTGAATAAGAAAAGACAAAACATGGACATGTGTTCATATCTAGTTAGACTAACTCTAATTCTAGACTGAACTCCTGAAGATAATCTGTACAAAAGGAAGACAGGATTCATGTATGGCTGCATAATTATACTCAAAAACTTACCCAGATGAAAACGAGCTGTCATAGTGAGCATAAACGCGAAATGTCTGATTAAAGACATCATCGGTCAATGAGCGCTTCACAGCTGAATGTCCAGGCTTTCTTAGATGCACCCTTGCTATCTAGTAATGAAAAATATGTGTTACTTACTTACAACCGGTAAACAGCAGCGGCTTTGTGTACTTTTTCCTCTCCGTGATGAGAGCACTGATACTCGCAATTACTTTGGATTGCTGAGAGAAGAAGGCAAAAGCAAAGCAGCTGAGAACATCTGTTACTGATCATTGCTACAAGTGATTTGACAGCACCGTCTGTACTGAGAATGACACTTCACGCTAGCTATTATTATTATTATTATTATTATAACTTTTAATAACTGAGTTTAATCATCTAAATTAATTACCGGTATTTAAAAAAAATTAATGAGAATTAAAATAGTTTATCATCCAAAGACAACAAGAAAGGCAGTAAACAGAGGTACCAGGAGCAGAAACTTCATGAAATTAATTGCAACACCAGATGATGGTGTGCTGGCAGTTGTAGAAGATGGCGTGGGGGTGGGGGAACTTGATGTGGGAGGACTAGTTGTGGGAAAATCGATAGATTTCTAAAAAAAATAACAAAAATTTTACATAAAAGAAGCTCTTTTTTAGTCTTGCTCTCTCAAGTGCTCACTCAATCTTTCATTATTCTGACCTGACAAAGTCCTTCAAAAGAAGAAGGGCATTGAATAGTTCCAACAATACCATCATTCATGACATTTAGCTAAAAAATTAAAACAATCAACTCCTAAACTACTTTTTCTATATGTATGCTATATTAAGTTATTAACTGACCACGTTTCCCGGTTGATCACAAGTGTAACTGACACTGTTGACAAACACTGCTAGCTTTGTGTTGTCAGCATTGCAAGTGTACTGCAGATAATGAAATTAAATGACTAGTGAGGCAATGGAGATTCTAATTCATTAAACTTTAGTATAGCTACTGTTATTATAATTGTGGCTACTGCTTTGTACAGTGGTCAGTAGTATAATAATTATTACCCGAAAACATCCTGCTCCAAGTGATCTACTTAACGGTGCTGTCAACGGTACAGGCTGAGTGAAACAAGCTGCACCTTCACCATATCTTTCCCCAAATGCATTACTACCAGCTAATGACAGAAGAACAAAATGATGCTAGAATTAATACAGTGCATCAATACCTGGGAGTTGGTTAGTTGCATTGGAGCAATCACCTGTTCTTCCGTTATCAAACCTAACATTCTAATATAAAAATAGTAATAACAATAGTAATAATGTGTAGCAGTTTTTTTGGAGGATAAAAAATTTCGTGAATTTCACAGTTTTTAAAATTCACTAAACTAAATTCTTTGAAAATCAATTTAATACGATACAAGATGCCAGAATTGTGGAAATTCCTGAAAATTATTTTGTGAACCTCCGGATACAAGTCATTTGTGAAAATTATTATCCTCGAAAAAACCACTATAAGGTACTCAATTTTATTATGTAAAATACTAACAGCTTGGTATGGGCAATAGTCTGCAATTTCCAATTGTCCTCCTGATCTTGAATTGTTGAAATACTATACATTGGAAATAAAAGCACCACTATGTGGGCAAATTGAGATTAATTTCATTACCCGATACTCTTGTGGAAGACTTAATCCTAGATCTGTTTTTAGATTACATATAGAGATAGATACTCTGTCAACTGAACAGTTCAGTTCATTGTTAGCTTGGGGCACATTGCAGAATGGTGACAAAGACTGTCGGCTATACAAGAAACATGTGGCATAACAATACTTACCAAGTTTGATGTAATAAGATTTACCTTAAGGTGGGTATTTATTGCGACACTTTAATTTTAGCGTTTTAAAACCGCTGATTCAACCAGCCGCTAATAATAGTTATTACCTTAGAATGACTTTTAATTGCGGGTACTAAATTTTGCGATTTTAGCACAAGGTAGATTTTGCTGGTATTAAAAATTGCGATTAAGTAATTATTACTAATAGTTATATGGCATCATGATGTCATTATTAATAATTGCGAGTATTAATAATTGCGATTTTTAACCCAAACGCAAAATTCGCAATTAATATTACCCGCATTTAATAGTAATGATCCTATTATGTATTGGGCTTCTTGAGTAGTGTGGTATGCTATTGAATGGGGGTTTTAGTACCATTGATTTTCTTCTTATTTTTGCTAATATTACATTTCGCTAAATCAACGCTAAAATTTAAGAGCGCAATCAATACCCACCCTAAGGTATTCATAATTAAATAGAATATACAGTCAAGAGAGGAATGCAATACATTAATTTGCCTGTACTTGCCCGTGGAGATAAACATAAAAAAGCTGCTGCTTTGCTGCATAAACTAGACTCAGACTGATGAATTATAGTTTCATAATAACTGATTCAAATGAGAAGGACTTGTCTATGTCCATAGCAGCTATTTTAAAATGCTTTTTGAATGGTGTTATAAGCATTTGAGTAAAAATCCAATTTGAGAGGCAATGCCATGAAAAGTTAAATATTTTTTCAGCCTGATGTGATACTACAATCTAAAACTGTTATACTGATTACTCACTTTCTTTCTCTTTCTTACTTATATGCAAAGCAGCTATTAGAAGCAAATGTGCAGCCAGCTCCATAGCCCCATTCTAAAAACTCGCCATGACTGAAATTGACTCTATACCATCTATAAAATCACAAAATGCTAGTCTGTTACAATTACTATCAGAGCTTACCCACTATCTTCAAGCAATGCCAGTGTCACATTTGATAGAACTGGACCGAAATCAATAACACCTGTCATAATTTCATTCTGTACAAGGCAGGTAGCTATAGTTATGCAGTATATGGATAGTGACAGCTCTTACCCCAAATATTCTCTTTTCCCAGTGCGACAGTTCAGTCCCAGGTCCACCTTGATTCTCCATTTCAATACCTTTCAAAGTACTACAACCAAAATGACGTCTGCCATGTTCCTAAGTCAACAACAACAATAATAAGAATAAATAATAATATAAATATTAATAATAATTCCATTTTTTAGTATGGATTTCTCACCCTTTATACCAGTAATTTCGTCTCTCTCTCACTCTCTCTTCTAATTCTTCTTAATTTTATTATTATAATAAATAATAATAATAATAATAGTAATAATAATAATAATAATAATAAAAATAAAAATAAAATAAAATAATTTAAGTCATACAAAGTACATAATAGGTAAAATATGTTAGGTGTAGGTGAAAATAGGTTTTTTTTATGTAGCTGTATACCCAATAAATAGTGGATTTATACCCAATCCATCATCTATTGATAACTTTTTCCTTTTGTCCTTAGCTAGTTTTGTCTCATTTTTGCGTTTTCTTTTTGTTGGTTTTGTTTTTTGTTGTCTCCTCTAGATTCTCCCTTTTCCAAAATTTTCTTGTTTTTGTTATTTTTTTGTGCATGTACATTATTCATAATAATAATAAGGTTTCTTTTTTCATAATAATAATAATAATTACTGTTATTATTATTATTATTTTAATAATTAAAAAAAAACAAAATCAAATAAAAAAAATTTTTTTAATAATAATAATTAATAAGCTAATTTTTATCTTCAATTTTTTAGGTCTCTTTCAATGAAAAATAATCATAATAATGATAAAATAGTAATTATAGTAATCGTTATTGATTTGTATAATCATAATGCATGAGCCAGTATTTAGCTTACCAATACTTTTGGTGTCACCATCAGATTCACAGTATGAGTCACAGTACCACTAAACACTTCCCAATCAGTATAATTGAACTCCATGATAGTTGTGTTACTCCAATCAAAGCGTCGACTAATATGAAATTTATGTTGAATTGGTGACAATAATGATTTCAGTGTCTTACCCTCCATTATCGCTCACATTTGGAGGGAACCCAAATTCATTTCTTTCTGTTCTTGGCTCTCCTTGCTCATCTCTCCAAAAAGGATAAAGTGATGTAGAAAATGCCTAAAATATGCCCATCACATCACAGAGGACAATCAGATACAGTATAGCTGGAAACTTTTGAGGAATTAAAGTTTGAAAAATCAGCCAAAAAATCATTTTTGCTGATTTAATTTTTGCAAATAAAAATAGTTCTGCCATCTTGTATCATACTCGTATCTAGATTTTTATAGATTTTAATTTTTTGTGAACCTGACAAAACCAGGAAAATTTATTGGCCTCAAAAGTTTTCAAGTATATGGTAATAATAATAATAATAATAATAATAATAATAGTTACCAGAGCATGGAACACTTCATGTTTTGCTGTTGCAAATATGTTTCCTGCTGACTCAGTTGCAAAAATGTTAGGACAGAAGTTTACATTCCCAGCAATTGGTCTATAAGAATGAATAGAATAGATTACTTTATACAGTCGAACCTGCTATTGTGAATAATGACACCTCTATAATTAGGAGAAGAAGTATCAGTCCCAAATTCCAAATACGGTATACAGTCTGGCAAAGGGGTGGGCTCAGACTAAATACAATACCGTATAACGCTTTAATTTGGTGGAGTTTTATTTTGGTGATTGGCGGTTTGCAAACAGAATTGCCGATATTAAAACCGCCAATCATTAATGCGCATGCTCAGTAATGCACATGTAGACAAAAATTGCCAAATTAAAAACCACCAATTACAATTTTACAGCAAAATCGCCGAAATAAAGCGCCGCTAAAATAAAGCGTTATACAGTATTAATGGACCTCTGAAATAAGGACACTTCCATAATCAGGACCATATTATTGGGTCTTAAAGTGTCTGGAAATAGTCAGGTTTGACTGTAGCTGGCTTATTTCTTGGCCTCAAATTTTTATATTATAGAATATTCATTAAAAATTATTTTAGGTGGTTTTAAAAATTTCTATAATTTAGTAGAATTAATTTTAGTAGATTATAGCCTGCAGAAAATTAATTATAGTATCCACAAGACTAAACCATGTTGCTATAATATGATTATTTTCAAATTTGTGCAGGTGGTTCAGGGTCCAAACATATGCACAACATACACTAGTCAGTGGTTTATTTACCGACTAAACTAACAGTCGAACAATAAATTCTCATAATGTGATTACCTGTCTAATGCACTTTCCATTTGACAGCTACTAGCAAATGCAATGGTTGAAGGGCCACCAGAGCCAGTTCCACAAGGAGAAGTATTGACTGCAGACACATACAGTATCATGTCAGCATCTTCTATGCCATCTCCCTCTTCATCAATGCTTTGACAATCAGTAGTTTGAGTGGAATTCTTACACTCAATGCATTGCTATAGTATAAAAATGTATGTATGACTATGGGAGCTTGTTTGTATAACTAATCATCAATATTGAAACAGCTGAACAGCCATAACTCATTTAATCTAATAATCATGCTAGATCTAATCATATTAAGTATAGTAACTACAATGCTAACAATAGTAAAACCAGCTAGGCCTTAGTTTCCCTGCTTAGTAGTGCATGCATGGGTATAGTACCTTGAGATGCTCCATAGGCACAACTGCCTGACCACACATTGTGGTCGCCTTGCATGTTGAAGCACACGGTAAAGTTGAATTGATTGATGGAAATACAAAAGTCCCACCCACACAGTCCCTATTGGGATTATAAAATAAAACTTGACAAATGTAAAGCATGAAGTGGCTCAACCGAGGAGCCACACTATCCTGAAGATGATATGGTGTACAGCTACATTATTGTACATGTACATGTGCAAATACAATAATTCTTGATGAAGTTATTGTGGTTGGAAATACTAATACCATTATTAAAGTGCTAATTAGCCCTGAACTTTTTGTAAACATTGCAACACTGATACTGTCAAGTGCTCAAGTAATGTACATGTTGCTTGGAGTGAAATGCAAAGTTCCCACACCCAAGGCAAGAGTTGAAGAATGGCCTCACCTGTCTAAAAGGATCGGAACATTTAATGGCCTGACCATTAGAAGAGATTCAAGGAATGTTTTCAACTGTGGAACAATCATATTCTACAAATTGATGTTATTAATAATCATAATATGAAATTTTGCTACTCTCAAGTGTGGCTGTAGCTCAACTATGACTAATTCATTAGTGCTATACCTTAATGGTTGTTCTAGTTCCTTCAGGGAGTCTATATAGATAATAATAATAACAATAATAAACGTATTTTTCTCACTGACCCTGTTTCCACAGAGTTGTCATAATGAATACTCAAACGGAAAGCTTGGTTTGCCTCCCTCTTAACCATATGGTGATGCTCTTCCAACGGAACTCTGTGTTTGATCTATATACATAATGAAATAAACATTAGGGCTGAAATAAACAAACAAGGCAAGCACTAATTGGTAGTAGCGAAAGAGCTTCTCAATCACTCCATAGATATGATTAGTCTAATCACACACAGATGGTCTCTACTCTACCTTTCCAATCTGCTGAATATGACTGGCTGTATTTTGGATATCATCAAAGGCATAGAGTTGAGAACAACAAAGAACACAGAAGAGCAGGGACAAGAAATAAGATTGTCCAGGACCGTTCATGATTCGCAGTAGCTTGAGATGTGACCGCAGCGTAAACTAGAGATATCTAATTGGTTGTGGGCGGAGCTCCCAAGCCCATTTTATTTTTTGCCATCAATAAAAAGAGTGATAAATTTTTATAATCTGCACAACCATCAATCATGCAGCCAAGCAAGAAGAGAAGAAAGTACACGTGGGATCCTATTGAGCTCAGATACGAAAGGCCTCCAAAGGACCCCAGGAATAGCCTGCTACATAAATATAATCCTCTCTCTCGCTCCCTTTTCTGGTATTAAAACTAGCATCATGTCTAACAATTATATATTAATTTTTATCATAGCTGGATCGACTCTTTAGTCTTTAAAGGATTTAGGCACGAGCTAAAGGAAACTGATTTATATGCTCACCCATCGGAGGCTGACTCAGAAAAACTGTCACAGAAATTTGAAAAGTAAGAGTGAAATTTTTAAGTGAGTTAAATTAAATTTGGTGTTTTGATAGCCATTACCAAAATAAAAATCCGCCATTATCCATGTTCTCAATTGCACAATGGCCACAATTTTGCCAAATTAAAATTCACCAAAATTTAGTTGTTCCAAAATTTTGTGCTGTACAATATATAGGCGCACATACATGTATAATAATAAATTGGGGAATTTTTAATCGTTGATATGATTCTATGCTGCTGAGTCGTCAAAATAAGATCTACCATTTTGCTTTGCTCTCACTACATTTGGCCACTAAGTTACTGCCTATACATTGCAATCATAGAGTTGCCAATATTAAGTACTGTAATTGATTGAATTTGAGCTTTTGTTTTGTCTTTGTAATCACCAGGAGACAATAATAAGTATAATAATAAGAAGAAGGAAGCATAATATACTCTTCATATAAAAAATACTTTTAGAATTTTTTACTTTAACGGCTAACGAAATTTAGCACATGAAATACATGTCTATTTACACAATGAATCATGGGATATTAACAGAATTACTAGTAAAATAATAGGAATTTTCCCCTACCAACAAAAAATTTTCCAATCTAAAGTACAGGTATCAGACATGTATTATTTTTACTTGACTCTCTCTCTTTGAAGGCATTGGAATACTGAAAAAGAAAGAGCAGGGAAACAGTCATCTCCAAGGCTATGGCTGGCCATAGCAAAATGTCTTTCATGGAGAATATTGCTACACGGGATTGTATCATTCTTAGTAGTAAGGATAGAGTGGGAAAGAGAGAGAGAGAGAGAGAGGAAGGGAAAATGACAAGAAAATGGCAAGCAATGAGAGAACAGGGAAGGAGACAGAAGTGGTGATAAAAGATTGGTTAAATGTAAATATATTGATTAATCAACATTCCCATAATTCAAAACGCCTCCCCATCTCTAATAAATAATAATTCCCTATACATACACAAATATTACATGCCATCCGCTATTTCTCATTGCTACATGACCCATGATAGTCATGTGTTGGTCCTATTTTGCTTTATTTCATTTGTTTCAATTAGTTAAATATGCATGAAAAATGCGTCTTAGGTTACAATAGTGTTCCACCTATAATTATATAACTGTAAACAATTAATCAGCGAGTAAGAGATAACAATGTAAAGTTACACTAAGAATAGAATAGTTCCTTATAGCAGACTCTAAAATTTATGCATAGCTAGAATTTTTGTAAGTAGTCAGTCAAATTTTATTTTTGTGAATTTTATTTTTGCAAATCCTCTTTGATGTAAAGTTTTTGAGTTGATTTTTTAAAAATTTAATAATGTATTTCTAGGCAGTTATTAATGATAGTTTTGAACTGTGAGCAGATCTAGAATCATGTTGATGTTTCATTAATAGGTTCTAGCACTCATAGGCCAGCCTGTGATCTTGGGATATTTGACGAATTATTTTGCAATTCCTGAGCCTACCCAATCCGACACTCACAGTGCTTATCTGTTTGCTTTAGCTCTCTCTATGGTTTCCTTTCTCCTTGTCTTTCTCAACGGTCTCAGTGGATATTCTGGATACAAACTTGGGATGTTGGTTAGAGTAATAGCCACATCTGCTATTTATAAAAAGGTATGGTGACTTGATTGATTGCTATGATCGAAATGGTTGTATTTTTTCATTGTTAGATTGTTGAGTTACGTCCTAGTCGTATCAGTCAACTAACGGTTGGTCACATTATCAACCTAGCTTCAAATGATGTTCATAGATTTGATCAGGTACAACCACTACAAGAACATGTATATACATGTATACATGTACCTAATAATTTTGGAAGGGGATTGTGGTGAATTTAGAGTTTTAATATAAAATAAAGAACTCAATTGTGTTGAACCATTATTTACATATTCAATGGCATATGACCATAAATTTGCCTAATTGAAACCTCCCAAGTACCAAAAAATTTTATCCTTCTAAAATTACCAGCTATAAGTAAAAGGTTTATCCCTCAATCTCTCACTCTTTATGATTCTCTTTCTTCTCCTTCTTCCTCCAGTCTCTCTTGTTCTATCACTATCTGTGGATTGGTCCCATACATTTAGTCATTGTCACTGCTTTTGTGTACGTTGAGATCGGCCCCACTGCATTCCTAGCTGCTTTCCTTGTTGTTATTCAACTACCTTTACAGCATTACTTAGGACGAGTTTTTATTAAGCTAAGGTGAGTCGTACATTACATGTACATTACATGTTCCCCACCAAGCATGCTTAGTGAATGCTTTATGAGCTGAAAAGCACTACAATAGTACATGTTTTTTTCTGTAGTTTCAAAAATATTTTAATTTTTTACAAATACTTAAAGTTACAAAAGTCTCGGTCAGATTTCGCCAAAAATGACTAGGAGAAAATTTTTTAGTTTTATAATTTTTCCAATACATTGTTTTTATGTTGTGTAGCAATTTTGAGCTGATTCCGACCAAAATTGGTTTTTTACAAATTTGTTCAGAATCAGCTCAAACTTGCTACACACTAATGTACTGTAGATGAGATCTTTACTCATTTCATGTTGTCCTTCAGATTGAATGCAGCCAAGCTAACTGATAAGAGAGTACTGACAATGAATGAAGTCATCAGTGGTATCAGAGTCATTAAGATGTACGGATGGGAGTATGCCTTCCATCAAGTTGTATCCAACATAAGAAGGTAACATGTCTCCACACATACACCTACATCCTCTTTTTTTCTTTATTCTTTATGTAAAGTACCGCATAGCAGGAAATTTGGAGGGACTAAAATTTGGCGAATTGCTAAATTTTGGTGAATGGCAAATTTTAATTTGGTGAATTTGTGGCCATGTGCCATTGAGCATGCGCATAATGGCTCAAAATGGCGGATTTTATTTTGGCAAATGGCTATCAAAATGCCAAATTCGCCAAATTTAATTTTCTCCAAAATTTCCCACTATACAGTTTATACAGTGTACATGGTAGTTTTTGAAAGGCAAATTTTTGCATTATTATTTTTGACAAATTGTAGCCACGTGACATTAAGCATGTATACATAAGAGCAAGAGTCCTTATAACAGTTTGTTTAGTCAAGTGTAAGCCATCCAAAACCAAAATTACTTAATGTACTGTACAGATATACATGTACATATAATATTATGCTAATAATATAACCTATTAATATACTAATAATAATATATAGTAATTTTACAGTACATAGATATACGTATTCATTTTTCCTTTCTCTTTCTATCAGTCTTGAAGTCAAAGCTATTTTAAAGAGCTCCATTATTCGTATCATTAATCTCAGTTATTACGACATTTCTCTTCCTTTGATTTTGTTGATTGTCTTTTCCGTCTACGTTTCGATTGACGAAAATAACATACTGACATCAAAAAAGGTTTTCACTACTCTTTCTCTTCTCTCGTTTGTTCGCCTCATTTCACTTAAGTTTCTTGTTACTTCTGTCATACAAATATCAGAAGGAAGAGTGGCATTAAAAAGAATAAGTGTAAGTAACTTTTTAAGTGTTTTGGTCGATCCACCTGTCTCTCTTCAATCTTTTATAATCTTTCTCCTTTTCTATCTCTCTTTCTCCCTCTCTCTCTCTTTTTCCCCCCTCTCTCTCTCCTCTCTCTCCCTCCCCCTTACTCTCTCTCTCCCTCCCTCCCCCTCTCTCTCTTTCTCCCCCCTCTCTCTCCCTGTAGGATTTTCTATTAATTAATGATGATGATTTACCTACTCATGAGACCACAGAAGACAATGACAGTCAAAGTATAAGACATATAATAAATATTAATTTTATAAACTGTAAATTATTTTTTAGTTGATGACCCTCCAATTAGCCCACCAAAGAAATCAAAATTGAGCATGTTTAGGAAGAAATGGAGTATAGATACTGACAGTTCTGATGGATATAACTCACTGACAAGACTAGGGGCAAAACCAGGGGAGGAGGAGAGAGAGGAGGAGCTTACAGGTGATGATGTCATTGGTGTTTTGGTAAAGGATCTTCATGCGTCATGGAACAATGAAGAAGACCTTTCTGAGTGTACTTTATTGAATATATCTTTCAAAGTTGATATGGTAAATTTTTGTGCCAACTTAGCTCTGTTGCTTGTTCACTTGCTAAAGTCTAATTTATACTGTATATACTTCCAACCAAAAGTGTTTATTGGCCAATGGAGCTCCCAACATTATGTATGGAATGCATTGATTTGTATACATGTGTGTATAGGACTTCTAGTTTGATGCTCTAACTGTAAATTCTTGTCTCTCTTTGAAGTCTATTTCTCTTTTTAAAATGTTTATTTTCTCTTATTAGAAATCACCACTATTTGCAATTGTCGGGCCTATAGGAGCTGGAAAAGTTAGCAAAAACACATTTACCATTATTATTATTATTATTATTTATTAATATTATTATTTTTTTTTTAATTATTTTTATTCTAGTCTACTTTGCTCCAATGTCTCCTGAAGGAGCTGCCTCCTATTAAAGGATCAGTAACAATGAGAGGTACAGTGGCCTATGTCAGCCAAGAGCCATGGATATTCTCAAGTACTGTGAGGGAAAATATACTGTTTGGATCAAAATATGAGGATGACTGGTATTATACTGTACTGGAGGCTTGTGCTTTGAAAAGGGTAAAAGGAGAGAGAGAGGGGGGAGGGAGGGAGAGGGAGGGAAGGAGAAAGAGGGAGGGAGAGAGAGAGAGGAGGGGAAGGAGAGAGAGAGAGGGAGCGAGAGGGAGAGGGAGGGAGGGAGGGAGAGGGAGAAAGAGGGAGGGAGAGAGAGGGAGAGACAGAGACAGAGATAGAGAGAGAGACAGACAGACAGAGACAGAGAAGAGAGAATAAAAAATGTGGAAAAACAAGACAATGAATGGACCAAACAATAGCTCTCTTTCTTAATGTGATCAGTATGATGTTACAAATTGAAACAGCCAATGTGTATAGTACTTAATCATCATCTCTCCTTTTCATTACATACATGTACATGCATATACACATACATACCCATTAGGATATTGATTGTCTTATTAATGGTGACCTGACTTTAGTGGGAGAGAGAGGAGTGACACTAAGTGGTGGACAAAAGGCAAGGATCAGTCTGGCTAGGGCAGTCTATCGTAAAGCTGATATATACCTCCTTGATGACCCACTGAGTGCTGTTGATACTGCTGTCAGCAGACACCTTTTTAACAAGTAAATTCTCTTCTTCTCTCAACTTGATTTATGTTTTTCCTACTTCTTTCTTTATAAGGTGTATCAAAGGCCTGTTATCCCAGTCTTGTGTATTACTGGTCACTCATCAGCTCCAGTATTTGAAACAGTGTGATAAGATGATTGGCCTCAAAGAGGTACGCATATTCACCCACTTAGGATTGAATTGATTAGCAATAGTAGATTAACAGCAGTCATACAGTGCTTAGCAGCTAGTAGTATGTAACTAACTGTCTGTGTAATGCTTCTGTCAGTGTACTGCTTCTTTCATATTATTTTATGCCTTAACTAAATCCACTTTTAATTTTGTGTAGTAATTTATAAATTTAGTCAGGGATCTTAGAACACTAAATTTAAGGACTAATAGATTTAATAGCATCATTAACTCTAATAGAATAAAAAATACACACATGCAATTAAAACTGTAAAGAACTTTTAATATCTGTAATTATCTTAGGGTGTGGTGACAGTGTATGGTGATACAACAGAAATACTGGAATGGGGAGAATCAAAGATACTGTCACTAATAGGAGGGAAGGGAGGAGAGAGTGAGGAGGAGGAGTATGAGGAACAACTGGCAGAGATGACATTCAGTGATGATGAGATCAGTAAGTTTAGTAATTTTATACACGTAGTATATGTGACCATAATTGACAAAAGGTACCTTATGGCGGATAGTAAAATTTGTCTTTATAGCCAAAAAAATCCAACTTCCTAAGCTCCATTTATGATAAAATTACTCCACAGGATCCAAAAAGTTATTATGTAACTTCTAGACACAATGGTTGTCTAACAAAGCACTCACAGGTTGATATTTTTCATTATAATGTTGAATTATAAATCATCCTTTTGTCAATTATGGTCACATATTTTTTAATTATTGACTAAATAGCTTTTCCACCGTATAGTGAAAAATTTTTGTAGCCCAAAAATTTTGTGGATTTATCCAAAATTAATTTTGTGGCTTTAATTTTCTACTTTTCAGCCATCTTGAACCATATTACATTGAATTTCGCAGATTTTATTTCCATAAATTTTCAAAAAATGCACAATCCACAAAAATCAAAAATTTTCCATTATACAGTTTGTATCATGAATTTATTTTTATAATCTTTTTTTCTCTTCTCTCTCTCTTTTTCAGCTCCGTTACATTCACCTCTTGAAGAAAGTGCTTTATTTCCAGGCTTGTCAATATATGATTCATTAGTTATCAGTAATTCTGTTAATGATGATACTCCAGCAGTGACCACTCCTGCTCCACCTCCTCTTCTAAAAGCTTTGTCTACCCGTAGCTTTGGAAGGACTCTTAGATCAATTACTAGTATACAAAATGGAGTAGAAATACCGGTATGGTTTATAATGATAATTATAAAGTAATGATGTAATTTTTAATAAAAGATAGATTAAAAATTTTACTTTAAAGTTTGCCAAGCATAGTGCACTAAAATTGGCTAGGAGGAAATTTTAATGGAATTTTTTGTGAAAAATTTGACCGGATTCCAATCAAAATTGGGATTTTTAGAAATTTTTAGAAGTTGTTTCAAAATTTGGCAAAATTGAAAATATAGATTTTTAGGCAAATTTGCAAAATTTACAGCCCTTTGCTATTTGCCTAAGCCTCATTAAATTGTTTGCAATATTTTCATGCTTACATTTTTAGGTCGAGACATTTGAAGCTCCTCCAGAGGAAGAGAGTGTTAGTGGTACAGTATCAGTTAAAACTTACGCAAAATACTTCATCTCTGGAGGGAGCTACTGGCTGCCTCTAGTTGTACTGGTTGTTTTCATCATTGCTGAAGTAAGGAGACTAAAATGTACTGAGTGTATCAATTATGTGTTAATATAATATGATCTAAGTGAGATGTTAGTAGGATTTAATTGAGTTTTTAAAAGAAATTAGATACTGTATAGTGGGAAATTTTGGAGGGAGTTAAATTTTGCGAATTGCTAAATTTTGGTGATTGGCAAATTTGTGGCCATGTGCCATTGAGCATGCGTATAATGGCTCAAAATGGCGGATTTTTATTTTGGTGAATGGCTATCAAAATGCCAAATTTTTCCAAATTTAATTTCCCTCTAAAATTTCCCGCTATACGGTATTATATTAGTAATTTTTATAATGTTTTACAACTTTCATTTGCAGTGTTCAATCATAACTACAGACTGGTGGATTGCAGATTGGTACGAATTTATTATTATTATTATAAAATAATATTCATTATTATTATTATTAAATTTATTATTATTATTATTTAAATTTATTATTATTCTCTTATTATATTTTCTCGTAGGGCCAATTGTAATAATAATGATAGTGCAGTATCAACATGTGCTCTGTCCAACAATGAAAGGATCGGTATATATTCTGGTCTGGTCTCCTCTCTTTGGATCAGCTGCTTATTGAGAAGTTTCCTATTTTATGTGTTGTCACTGAGGGCTGCCCGTTCACTCCATAACAGAATGTTCTCCTCTATAATCAGAGCACCAGTTCTGTTCTTTGATACTAATCCTATTGGTGAGTATCAGGGAAACCGTTAGTATTATACTCAGTAGCTGGTAAATTTTTAAAGTGAACATTTTGACATTTTGGTAGCCATTCTCCAAATTAAACCCACCATTTTAGATGTGCATGCTCAATGGCACATGGCCGCTACTAAACTTTTCTCCCCCTCCAACTACATTGTTGTATCTATTGTTGTATCTATTGTTATTATTATACCAATTTTAGGCCTTTTGCTTTAATTTTACTATACTATGAAAATTTGAGGTTTCCCACAGGATCATGGCATAGTGCTCATGCAACTTCTTGTCAGTGAATTTTTTTCCAAAGTTTGCATGTACTATAGCACAGGGTATTTGTCAAAAATGGCTAGTAGAGAATTTATTACATTTTTTGATACATATGCATGTACTTATACATATTGTTTAGAAATTTTGAGCTGGTGTAAATCAAATTATATTTTTAAGTTGCTCAAAAAATTGGTCAAAGCCCCTGTACTGTATGGTCTTGGACCCAATTTCACCAAAATTGAAAAAGAGAGAATTCTTCATTTTTATAATTTTTCCTGATACATATGCATGTATTTACGTTGTGTAAAAATTTTGAGCTGATTCCAACTAAAATTGGATTTTTAATGAATTTTTAAAGTTGCTCCATACTGGAGCTTGCTTTTAAGCTCACTTAGTCCCCCGTTTGCAATACTTGTCAGCTACTTTGCATGCAACATACTGGGCTACTTTTTAGTCTGTTATATTTATTTCTTTTGTGTTAATTAATGCAATTTATTAGGTCGTGTGTTGAACAGGTTTTCCAAAGACGTTGGATTCCTCGATGACATTCTTATTTACTCTTTTTGCGAGTTCTTGCAAGTAAATTAATATTTGTTGGTATTATAGTGTTCAATTTGTCCGTCTTTTGTCTAGTTTTTCATGAGGTTTCTTGGTATCATCATTACAGCTGTCATAGCTAATTATTACCTCATTGTAGTAATAGTTGTTCTCTGTGTTGTCTTTGTACTCTTCAGACAGTATTACCTTAGAATGGCTAGAAGCATCAAACGCATTGAGGCCTCAAGTAATTTAATATACATGTGCATACACAGTCATATTTAATACTCCCATGTAGCTGGTAATTTTAATTGGGGGAATTTTGGTGAATTCGAAATTTTTGATAACCATTTTGTCAAAATTAAACCAGCCATTTCGAACCATTTTGCACAATCACAGTGGTAAATCATCACAAATTTGCTTAATTAAAACCCATTGATCATACAAAAATTAAGCAATTTGCCCATTCAAGTTTTATCCCTCCAAAATCACCAGCCATAATTATAATGTACCGTATAGCGCAAAATTTTTAAGGACTGTAAATTTTGCTAAAAATTCTTTTGCAGATTTAAGTTTTGCAAGTTTCTGCCATATTGTATTGTAATAATTTGATTTTGCGGAAGTACTTTTCACGAATCTTCAAAAAATTGCAAAATCCACAAAATTTACAGCCCTCAAAAATTTTGCATTATACAGTATATTTTTTACATTTCTTTGTCTCTTTCCACCTTGTACATGTATCTCTTCCTTGTCTCTCTCATTCCTCCAGGTCGTAGTCCTCTCTACTCTCATATATCAATGACTCTCCAAGGCCTATCAACAATAAGGGCTTATGGTATGGTCCAGGAGATGGTTAAAGTGTTTTACAATTATCACAACAAGCACACACAAGCTTGGTTCCTGTACATAGTATCTTCAAGGTACATACATGTACATACTTATAATGTTAGCTACTAGAAAGAGTTTAAAATATTAAGGAGCTTGGTCTCCTTGATTTAGTATCTGCTAGAAAAGCAGATTCTCTACCTTATGCAGTGTTCTGCCTAGAAAAAATTAGAGGTGGTTGGAGACTACTATTGTTCCTTTTAAGCTTATGTACACCATACTAGTAGACTACAATATCAGGCTTTATGTATGGTTATTAGTATTAATTGGATGGTTGGTCTAAGTGATGAACTATGGCTGGTTCATTTGTTGAGGTGGCTGTCTTGACCACCCCCGACCACCATAGGCAGAGCTATGCTTATGTTGCTACTAGAAAACTCTTGACTTGTTTGTTGCCATTAATCTTAGCTATTACTCTTACATAGCTTACGAAAGACGATAATTTTTATAATCAATAATGCAATGTAGCCAATTTTCCCTTTTATTCAAAATTCTTATTATTCCCTGCATAACAGTTGCTACATGTATAAAGAGTAGAGAATTATTATGATACTCTTGTATACATCATGTATAACCTCTTGGCTATTAAAACAACAACAGGAAATGGTCACAGTTCATAGACACACAGACGCAACACTTCATATAATTTATGGCATTCTTCCTTTGAAGTTGTGTAACTATATGTCACACTCAGATTACTCTAGTAGCATGACAGTGCTTAGTAAAATATTTCATTATAAATGGTGTTTACTTATCTCTCTCTCTCTCTCTCCTTTTTTCTCTCTACCTTCCCCTACTCTCTTTTTACATTTGCTCTCCCTCCTCCCTCTCTTCTTTCCTTTCTCCTTTTTACTTTTTCTTTTCTCTCTCTCTTTCTCTCTCTCCCCCCCCCCTCTCTCTCTCTCTCACTATCAGATGGTTTGGTATGAGAATTGATGCCCTTAGTTCTATATTCATAACAACAGTAGTCTTTGTGTCTATACCATTAGCAGGAAGTAAGTGTACACCACAACCATTATCTAATTATTTAATAATTAAAAGCAAATTAGAATTACTACATGTATATCCTTCACACGCTTAAACTGTTAAAATTAAATTTATGAGTGACACTGTCCAGCACTTAATGCGAGTCTTTTCTTAGGTCTTTCTCCTGGTTTGGTCGGACTTGCTCTCTTTTATTCAATATCTCTCAATGGGATGTTCCAGTACTGCATGAGACTCAGTGCCGAAGTAGAAAACTTGGTCAGTTAATTTCTCCCGTATGGGGTAGTAGTAAAAGTAGAAACAAAACAAAACCAGAGGTGAAAAGAAACAGAACAGAAGCAAAAACTAGAGGACTCCTAACATAACTAGGGAACTCCTAAATGACTAGGAGACTCCTAACATAGCTAGGGTACACTCAAAAAATAACTAAACCCTAAACCCAACCTTGGGGACTCCTAAGCTAACTAGGGGGACTCCTAACATGACTGGGGGACTTTTAACAAAAATAAAACTACATTGGTAGATTGCTATTTTGGGGCATTTCTTTCTGGTTTTGTTTCTACTTTTACTAATACCCCTCCCATGATGTATACTCTAACTCTTTTTCAACCACTTGTGTTTCACTCCTCATATTTTGTCTCTCTCTCTCTCTCTTTCCTTCTATTCAGATGGTGTCAGCTGAGAGAGTCATTGCATATGATGAGGACATTTCAAGTGAAGCTCCTTTTGAGACGGACCCTTTGCTTGAGAAACCACCCTCGACTTGGCCGGAAAGTGGAAGGATAAAATTAAAAGATGTGACATACAGACATTCTGAGACTTCTCCATTAGTTCTCAAGGGACTATCTGCTGTTATTGAATCTGGAGAAAAGGTCAATTGTGGTCTCTTAGATATGTGTGTGCTGGAGTGTAACCACAGGCTGTTCTTAGGATTCCCATACAACAGTAGTACCATGTACAGTACTTGGAAGTATTTGACACTTTCATGTACATGTACTGGCCTAAGGATTCTTAGTATTTACACCGTGTTGCATAATCAAAGGCATGTACATGTACACTCGCTATTTGACATGTACTGGCTGAAGGGTTCTTGGTACCGTATAGTGGGTATATTCCGTCAGAGTTTAATTTCATTCTTTTTGCTCTCATTCCTTGTGGAACGAATATTTTCCAAGTCAAAAAGGCATTTCGTCAATGCCACATGTGCAAAATGGCTACTCAGAATGAAAATAAAATAAACAAAAAAATCTAATCCTGCTTAGAACGAACATTTGAGGTATACCCGCCGCTGTACAGTATTTACATTGGATTACTTGTGCATAATCCAATGCTTCATAAATCGCACGTACATGTACACTGGCTATTTGGCTGTTGTTTTATGATTAGTCACCCTTCAAAGGCTAATTTTGTAAATCAAAAGAAAATAGTTTACAATAGACACACTGATAAATTAATTACCAGAGAATAATTCAATTTTAAAGACACCTAATGCTTAGATAATTAAATAACTCTTATTCTTAGATAATTAAATAACTCTTATGCTTAGATAATTAAATAACTCTTATGCTTTTCCTTAGATTGGTATTGTGGGTCGTACTGGTGCTGGTAAATCATCACTGGCCTCAGCTTTATTCCGACTTGCTGAACCAAACGGATCAATAGAGATCGACAATGTTGAAGTTCTAACGCTCGGACTTCACGACTTGAGACGCCATTTATCAATAATCCCACAAGATCCTGTTCTATTTACCGGGACCGTACGCCATAACCTGGATCCATTTGGTAACTATGATGACGAGGAGATATGGAGATCCTTGGAGCAAGTTCAGTTGAAATGGAGTATAGAGTTACTGGATGAAGGACTGGAAGCAATGGTGACTGAGGGAGGGAGCAATTTCAGTGTTGGACAGAGGCAGTTGTTTTGCCTTGCTAGAGCATTACTGAGGAAGAATAAAATATTGATATTAGACGAAGCAACGGCTAATGTGGATCTGGAGTAAGTGGTTTATAAAATTAAAGTAAACTCAAATTATTTAGTGACCTTTATGTTTAACGTTTTTGCAATGATGGGTATATTGACGTCCATAAAATTTCAACATTTTTCACCTTTAGCCTATTTTCTTGAAGTTAATGGTCGTGAATATGATTGTCAATGTGCATTTGGTTACCTTAGTTGTAAAAATCATTATAATTAATGGATTGCAATTATTAATGGGTTATAGCATCCCATTCATCATATCATAACTGGGTCAGTTTATTTTATGGCATGTAAACTGTGCTTCTTTGGTATGCCACCACATTAGGTAGGCTCACCCAGTTAGTTATGACACGAACAGTGCTGATTTATGGGATACATTAAACCTCTCCCCTCTTCCTTCTAATTTTATTTTAATCATTTTGCTTGTTTACAAAACAAGACAAAAAACCTTGCTCCGAAATGTTCTGGTATAAACAAGGCTTCACTACTTTCATTAATGCATGCCTTGTGACATAGACACTACATATGGTTTTCCTTTTATCTCATCTTTCCTCTCTTTCCTCCACACAGAACTGATGCCATCATACAACAAGTTATACGTGAACAGTTCAGCCAGTGCACTATACTCACTATAGCCCATCGACTTGAAACTGTGATGGATTCCGATAGAATTATGGTACGATAAAACCCTGTACTATTTCAATGTATTACATTCAGCAAGAGCTTGATCAGATATAATTATGATTGGTTGTGTGAGTACATGTAATTTGTGACATGATGTACGAGTAACTTCATCTGCTGGCATTTGTAAACATTGTGATTCAGTCACTAGGTGTTAATTGTAAGCTAGAGGCTTGTAATTAAATTATTGGAATGTGTCAATTTTGAGTAGCCTTTTCCTCTTTATTGTATAATTTCTAGGTCTTAAGGTTTGGTGAGATAGCAGAATTTGATGAGCCACATGTACTTCTTAGCAAACCGAATTCTTATCTTTTACGATTAGTAGAGCACACTGGTCCAGGGACTGCTGCAAAGTTAAAGGAAATTGCAAGCGATACTTACAACATGAGGCATGGAATACGATCCACCGACAAGCCATTGAGACTGAAATAATTAACATTTGAAAAAATTTGTGTAATGAGATTATCAAATGAAATTGTCACGTATTTATCCTAATTTATTTATGCTCTGTATTTTACAATTTATATACATTGTGTGAATTTGTACATTTGGTTCGTGAAGGAGTGGCCTCGTGGTAAAGTTAGTAGTCATTAATACTACAGCCATAGATACTACAGCACTTTGTGAATTCTGCACTGCACCATGCCACATTTAATTACTCGGATAGGGCTACTGGTTTTGCTCGCATTCATCTACACTGCTGGTGAGTCTGCTAATAAATGGCCATTGAGATTATATTCCTCTTCTTTTTAGGAGCAAGCTGTACTGTCTCTGCTCCGTCAGGGCCTAGGACCATCCGTTTTGGATCACAGCACACCATCACATGTCAGTTTTCAGCCAATTGCTTCTCAAGCTCCTGGACGAAAGATGGGCTCTCACTCTCCAATAATCCAAACTACACTGTCACCTCTGGGAGCACCAGGAGCAGCATCAGTTTTAATGCTAGTCTTTCTGACACTGGGGACTTTGTTTGTAACGTGATCAAGTTCCACTTCTCAGACTCGAGCATTAAAAGATATTTCAGAATTTTTGTTGAAAGTATGCACATTAAACTTAGCATATCTGAACGTTGTTTTGTCATAATGTTTTTAGAGGCCGTGGAAGTACACATTTATCCAAATGCTATTAACAGTGTTGAAGGTGAGATGGTGAGTATTAACTGTACAGCGATAGGAGCTCCTACTCCTTCATCAATATCATGGTATCGTAATGGACTCCCTCTAAATCCAGCCCCTGAGTCTAATAAAAGCACAGACCAGCAAACCGTCACCAGCAGACTTGTGCTGCAACCTTTGGAAAGAAATGATGAAGGGGTTTATAGCTGTTCAGCTTTTAATGCACCATCTAGCATTGGGTTTAAAACAGCACACTCTTCTGATGTTCTAGTGACTGTGTATTGTAAGTTAAATAATAGTTTAGATCTACTGAGAGCCGTTAGATTTGTGCCTTATTATCAATGCTTTGCTATCAGCTCCGGAAATATCTTGATAGCTATGTTGCATGCAGCATGCATTAGTTAGGAACTTTTAGTTTTAGCATAATTTTATTATAATGAGCATTATCATTTAGCAACTGTGGGCCTGTGGTTTATTCTGAGCCTTATGTTGTTGTGATAGGCTATGGGCTACATCATAATGACATCACCAAGTCTTGGTCAAAACCCACAGTTCATGTAATCATGTTTTAATCTTGTCGTGGATTTGACAACTTTTATTATTTATTTTTTTAGATTTGCCACTTTTTATTCTCCAGCCTCCTTTTATAGTAGAAGGAATAGCAGGAGGGAACACCAGCTTGTTCTGTTCAGTGACAGCTAATCCTCTTCCTCCAGTTGTGTATTGGTTAACTAGTAATGGGCTTAATCTCACTAATATCTCAACAAGTGTTGTTGTCTCACCTAAAGTCATTGAAAGTACTCTCACTTTGGAGAATGTTCAGTTGTCTGATGAGTTGAATTACTCTTGTGTTGTTGAGCAAGTCATACCATCAAATAATAACAGGACATTAATTAAGGCTCAAACTCAGTTACTGATTGCATGTAAGTATGAAAACTAATTAAGTTATTAGTATTTTTTCTTTGTTTTAGACCCACCACAAGTGAGCTCACCTATTCATAACGTCACTGTTAATGCATCAGATGAAGTCACCTTGTTATGTGAAGGATTTGGTAACCCCAGACCAGTCATTGAATGGTATTTCATTGGCAAAGGTACGCCACAAATCTAGTAAGTATATTATGTAATTAATCTTTTCCCAGATGGTAACGAAGTTCAAATTCACAATGCTTCAAGATCGCTTCCATTGAGTGATAGAACTATCGTTTCTAACCTAACACTAACCAATGTTACAATAGACCAGGAAGGATCATACAGATGTAAAGGAACTAATAATGTCACTAACTTAATTGGATCTAAAGAAGACACCTTAATACACCTCACAGTACATTGTACGTATTATTTACAAATTAAGAGTGCTATTATTCTCATTCATTTTTAGCTCCTCCTCAGTTAATTAGAGTGAATTCATCATCTAATTACAGTTTACTAGTAAATGAATCAATCACTCTTTCCTTCAGTATCAATTTTGCCTCTCCTCCTGTCAAAAGTGAGCAAGTAGCTTGGACACTGACAACAGTCAACAGGGAGATCAAAGAATTAAACTGTGAGTAAAAATGCCAACTTATAATAACTAAACAATTATTTGCATGCTTGCTTGCCTTAACATATGTCTCTCCTTTTATGTTTAGCATCTGATCAATTCCAAATTTCAGCTGATGGCCTCTCCCTCACAATATTTTCAGTGTCACTGGAAGAGAATGGATTCATACAGTCGACTGTGTACAATGAAGTTGGTACCGATAGCAAAGGATATTATTTGCTTATAGGAAGTTAGTCAAATTTTGTATGAACTTACATGCGTTTGAATTAATTTTATTTTAGCTTCTCCTAGTGTCAGCATTTTACCAAGACATGTGGGAGTCGCAATAGGAACACGAAATATTTCCTTTACTTGTAGTTCTTCTGGTCATCCTATTCCACTCCTGACTTGGTATGCTAATGATCAGGAGCTGTCTCTTAGTCAAGACAAGTATTCTTCATTATATACTAATACTAATGGAACTAGTGTTTTGACTTTGTTTGATCTTGGTTTGTCTGATGCTGCAAGGTATACTTGCTTAGCTAGTAATGTGTTTGGAAATGATACTGTTGATAATCATTTAGTTGTTCAAGGTAAGTTTAGTTTAAATGGAATAATTATTATGTTTTTCTTAGTACCACCTAACATCACTCTCACT